CCAGCGACCGCGCAAGAGCGAGGGGAGCGGAGAAAGCTGCGGGGGGTCCTGGCCTTGCGTTTATTCGCTTGCCTTTTGCAGTTGGCTTTGCTGTGCAAGCTACAGAGGATGCTCAACGCGGCGCCGCAGCTGGTTGCCAGTGCCAGGGTCTGTACTTGCAGGTGGCTTCCCTCTCTCTTCCAGTCTCTCAGCAACAGCTGGGCGATCTTTCTTAGACTGCTGTGGGGCCTCCTGCTTCTAGGCCTGCAAGCCCAGTGTGTGCTCCTGTAGTCCTACTTTATTTCGGTAGTTGTCTCACGGGTACTAAGCAGGACCACACTTGAATGTGAAATTGGTAAATAATAAATACACTCCTAATGTTTTCAGTATTTTAAATATGTGTCATGTAGATAGAGGCAGAAGTCTGTTCATACATGGTTAATCCCATTCCCTATTTGCAGCACCAGGGTAGCTGAGGCTGGGGTCTTTTAGGGAACCCAGTAGAATAGGTGTAGGGACACCTTGCATTCATGCCCAGGGGACACCTTCCATTGCACTCTCTCTCCCCTAAAGCTTTACCTAAATGTTTTCCTCTTCCCAGGCAGTCAGCCATAGCAATCATGCAGGAGTTCATGGCCTGTGGCTTTCACTACCACACACACAAGCCAGGAGGGATAGAGAAAGAAGATGAAGATTCCTCCAAAGGGAAAATTAACTGGAGAACAACTGCCTGTCATAAAATATTGTATCCCTAGCAACAAAAGTAAAATTATACACACATTTTAAACATGCATTTTTCTGACCTTGTTTATTTTAACTACCACCTTTACAAACAAACCAGTCTTCACGACCCTATTGGGTTGTTTGAGGGCTTTTGGTTTATTTATTTGTTTTTGTTGTTGTTTGTTGTGTTTTTGTTTGTATTTGTCTAAAGGGGAATGGCCATAATTAGTGTTTCACAATATGTAGAAACATGAGACTTGTTTTCCACAAAATTTCAGGAGGCTGGAGACGAGTCAACTATATAAAAAGCTGTATTTGAGGTAAAGGATTAAGACATTTTCATAATAAAATTTAAAATAATTTCAATACTGGTAAATGCATAACAAATTCACTTTAAAATTTTTTACTGGTTCATTTTATCATATCTCTCTCTGCTTGCATTTTGTCTTAACCTACCTACTACTTTATTGCTAGTGTTAAAATCTATGATGGCCTATCACTCTTGGAATTATTATTATAAATTAGAATTATCACATAGAAAAATATAATTATGAGACATTTTTAACACCAAGATTTTTACAAAAATTGTATGTCATGTTTCAGAAGTGGTTTCCTAGCAAAGCTCTACATCAGACAGACACTTTAGACCTTCCTCTGTCAGTAACTGACATACCTTGACTGAAAAATCTGATTTCTGCCTTGGAGACACTCCCAGTGCCATGGATGATTTAGAGTCCTGAAGAATTCATGGGATTTGGAAGATGTGTGGAGATCAACACATCCATTCTAGAATATAAGAATTCAGTGTATATAGAAAGAGACCATTAAAAGAGACAAAAAGAAAGTATTTATATTCAAAGTACCATATTAACCTTCTCTGCCTGCTCATTATTCCTCAAATTTTCTTTCACTAAAAATGGGAAAACACAGACAACTGTCTCCTCCAGAACTGCTCTTCTCTGAGTTCATATGATTCACAGATTTCCTTTTCCCATCTCACAACATATATCTGACATACTAACATCAGTTTCTAACATTTTCAGTTTATTATGCAATGTTGGACAATCTGGTCAAGCCACATCTATAACCTCATCTGAGGATACCCTGTATCTCCCTTTTATAGCACATCATCTCCATTTGCCTGCTCCATTTGTTTTGCTCCAGCTGCTGGGCCTGGAAAGAAAAGTTTGCAGGTGTGATATATGGGTTGAACCTGTTTTGAATAGTATGAAATGGAAGAGGGGACAGAATAGATTCAGGGGTCTGTGCAGCACAGCAGGTGTCAGGGCAATGAGCAACTAATACTGGAACCTGTGGCTGACAGGTTGTTGTACTCATACCCTCACCAGTGATCAGGAAACACAAGATAGGAAGAATTTGATGAAAACGGGACACTTGCTTCTTACTAACACCAAACACTATTATTCCCTTTGCCTACTCATAGTGAATTACCAAGAAACAATAACCATGATAAAAGAGAAAGTTTTGAATCCTTGGGAGTGATGCTGTGTGAGCTATGGAAACATTGCCACCCAATTCTCATGGAGAAGAATTCCAATTGAGTACAGTTCAGTTAGATTTGATTTATAGATACCTTATGCTTAGACAAATTGCTCAAGGATCTTTTAAAGACTCCTCTTAGAATTGGTCTAAATCAGTACACACTTATTTGTGTGATATGATTTCTACTTGACACTGAGTATTTATCAGATGATTTTTCTACTAAAGACTCTTGGATGGGAAAATAAAGGTTAAATGTACCCATTTGAAAATATGAAAAGGGAAGAGGCTTGTGTTTGCTAGCTGATATAGTTTCTTGGATACAGAAGTTAGTCTAGGCAGAGCAGATGTTTTAATGAGCAGTGAGCAGGGCTTAACACAATGTGAAGCAGGACTCATAACAGCTGGAGCAAGGGGATAGACATATAGACATATTGCTAAATCGTGAAATTCCAGTGATCTAGGTCTTTCTTGGATCTTTAGGGAATCAATAGGAAGAGTTTCTACTGGGAAAAAGTTAATAGTTGGTAGTTGTGCTGGTTAGTTTTAACTGTCAACATCTTAAAATCTCATGCAAAGAGATTCTTTATGTTAGGCTAGCCTGTGGGCATACCTCTAGGGGATTGATTTGATTGTTGATTGAGGTATGGTGATCCACTCAGAATGAAGGTGCCACTGTTTCTTAGACTGGGCCAGGAACTGTGGAAGGATGAAAAAGCTAGCTGAGCATAAGCAGCGCAGGCAGGAGGCTGGAGTATGTTCATTTCTCTCTGCCTTTGACTACAAATGTCATGTGGCCAGGTGTCTCAAGCTCCTGCCTCTTCAGCTCCTGCAATGATATGCTGTAATCTGTAATCTCCCGTCTCAAAGTTGCTTTGGTTATGGTATTTATCACAGCAAAAGAAATGAACTAGAACCACAGTCTTCTGTTGTCCTCAGTGTTCTAGTTGGAGATCCTGCATAAGTCCTTACCTTTTCATGGATTCACATCTCCAGCAAATAACAAATCATTCATTTATAATTTAAATATTGCAATTTAAATTTGGAAGATATCTCATGACATACATTTTCCTTCATGGGAATTTGCTAAAACTTTCTAGTAGGGTCACCTAGGCTATCTTAAATATTTCTGCCAATAGTATAGTTAAGAACATCTAGAGTGAGATGGTGACCATATGTCTTAGTTAAAATTTCTATTGCTGTGAAGACAATAGAGACAGCATGAAAACTGGAACTCTTATAAAGGAAAACATTTCATTGGAGCAGGCTTACAGTTCAGAAGTTTAGTTCATTATCATCAAGGAGAAAAGCATAGTGGCATGTAGGTTGACATGTTGCTAGAGGCAGCTGAGAGTTCTATGTCCAGATTGGTAGGCAACAGGAAGAGACAATGAGTCACCATGCTTGGCTTGAGTTTCAGAGACCTCAAAGCCCACTTCCAGTGGCACGCCACCTCCAATAAGGCCACACCTACTCATAGCGTTAGTCACTGTAAGCCTATGGGGTATTTTCATTCAACCAGCACGGACTATCACTAGATTAAAATAACATCCTGAGACCCAGCCTGTCCCATTTCAATAAGCATTCCTTCTGAACAGGCCTCTGTAGAATTTTCCAGTCTTTTCCCTCTCTGCAGGTCTCACATGTCTGCATCACCACAATGGTACAGGATCAGTTCTGGAATCCCTCCATACTCTGTACTTAAGTTGTGGTTGTCTTATCTGAAGCACTGAAAACATGTAAACGCAATGAGGAGGTGGTAAAGCGCCATCTGTTGTGTCAGAGTTGAGGCTCTGCAAGATTATCATATGGTCCTTGTGTTTCCTGCTTGCATTAAAACAAGCCTGGATGGAAGGTACACTTAAAATGCCCTTCAACAAAGAATGCAAGGCAGAGTAAATCCACATGACCTTTAAGTTGGGCAGAAATATACTGTAGCAAGGTGTGTCACTGAAACAAAAACTTCTCAGTCCATGAAAGGAACAATTATAGAGTACACAGATCATAGACTATTCTAGACTATGTTCACACAGTCCATAAATAAACATGATCTCTATACTGTTCATACTTCACTGTAGACAGACTTCTCTGTCCCACCAGTAGGCTCTGTCCTACCAGCCAGCTCCCAAATAACCACACAGAGACTTATTATTAATTATAAATGCTTGGCCAAGAGCTTAGACTTGTTACTAATTACCTCTTTCAACTTAAATTAACCCACATTTCTTATCTATGCTCTTCCATATGGCGGTACCTTTCTTCAGCGCGGCATATTCATCTCTGTGTCTGGCTGATTACTCTGCCCTCCTTTCTTCCCAGTGTTCTCTCAGTTTGGCTCTCTTGCCTAACCTCTTTCTGACTAGCTACAAGTTGGCTTTTTATTAAACCAATGAGAGCAAAACATCTTCACAGTGTACAAAAGGATTATCTTTATGGGGAACCTACCAGAGAAGACCACATAGTCACAAATTATAGCTGACTGAAAGTTTGTTTAAACCTGCTGGTACTATACTTGGGTTTTGGGGACCCATGTGTATAGCACCAGTATTAAAAGTAAGTGGCTTTTAAAGACAAATCCACATACTGTTATCTCACTCAGCAGGTGTACGGGGAGTTGTGCAAGCAAGCATTTTAACAGAGGGTAAGACAAATAGTTAACTGGAGGGAGAAATTGTACAAGTAGGTAGTTTAACAGAGCCAAGATAAGTTAGATGGAGCACCTTGACCTCAGGCTTCTTGAATAGAACAAGATAATTATCTTTGGGGCTTTCCATCATGGAGATCAAATACTAGTCAAACCTGAAATGACCTCAGCTACAATACAAGACAGTGTAACCTCTTCATTGTCTTGTGGAACCCATTCCTCCAGGTAAACCACTTAACTTGGCTTCTGTTATAACTGCTTGCTTGAAACTACTCACTCTGTGACACCCCCCTCCCCCGGAAAAAGAAAGAAACTACATATACCACATCTGCCTGAGAGAGATGCCACGATGTGGTTTCTGTCTTTAGAAACCCATGTTCTGGACATTTGGGGCCACACATAGGTCACCAAACACTTGGGTGCTGTCCTAGCTTGAAAAAGACTTTCATTTGGTTATACACTCTGTCTTAGTGGTCATCTCTGGCAGTTAACAAAAAACAAAAAGCAAAATAACAACAACAAAAAGACCCAAAACATCATTTTGTTTCATTTTCAGATAAAGTAAGTTTTAGATAAAAAGGTTGCCTGGAAAATTATAAATAAATAGTAATATCAAGTACATGAGGGAATATGGGAATTATGCAGTCCAACAATGGCTGGTTGTAAATTAGAAAGTCCAAGAGTCTAGTAGCTGCTCAGTCCCACGAGGCTGGTTGTCTCAGCTGGTCTTCTGTTTTTACTGGACTCCCAAAGAAGTTGGCTCCAATGCCAATGAAGGAATGGATGACATGGTGAGGACAGGCAGGAGAAATAACCCTTCCTTTTTCCATTGTCCTTATTTAGGTTTCCAACCCAGATGAAAGGTGTGTCTTCCATACTCAAAGACATGTTGTCTTCTTGCCTCAAGATCCAAATCACAAGTGTCCCTTCCATTTCTGGATTACGGCTCATGCCAGATATAGTTAAGCTGACAACCAAGAATAGCCACCACAAAACAGCAAACCACTGTTCATGAACATGTTTCCAATATCCTAAATTAATTCTTCCACTCTAAGCAATACTTGTGTTGTATGTTCTTATGGACCTAGCCAATCAAAATATATTTAGATGTTGAAAATTCCTTTCACATTAGGGACCCTGCATGTGTTTAAAAGCAAAATGCATGATTTGTACACTGTGAAATAAAAATAAAGTATGTTTGTAATTCAGTGATAGATAGTTAAAACTTTTGTTAGTTAAGAATTAAGCTTTCTACAAGAAAAGAGAATAGGAAATAGAATTTCATAGTCAATTTGCTGCATTCAGTCTGTTTTTTTATTCTCCCGGCAATGAGGAACTATTTGGTCCATGTATCCATCTTAGCACACTTATGCTTGCTAATCCCCAAATGACTGATTTGCTTTTAAAAGATCATAGTTTCATATTAAACTTTGGTCTCCAAGGAAGTACAGATACACAGCAAGAAAAAGCAAACAGAGTTTTCTTCACAATGTCCAGCCAGTACTTATCTTGATCAAAACATGATATTACGCTTTTTGTCTTCAAGGTAAAATCCTCTGATTAGCTGATTAAGAGTAATTATCAGGTATAGTGATATACACAGTCATCTGAAGCAAAGTGTTTTTGTTCAGAAAAACAAGTCAATTTGGAGACACTAGAGGACAGTTCTCAGAATAGGCTGTTTGTTATGTATCGCTTTTCAACTGGCCTATGTCTTAGCTGCTTCTTCGTAGACCTTAGAGTCTTCATCACAGAACCTGAAATTGGGACATCTTGACTCTGTTCTTTGCTTTTCCTGATTCCCTGAAATACGTTAAAGAACACCCAGACCTGGAGAATGGGGCAAGCCTTGGCACAGTCATGTCCTAATACTGAAGTTGCCTTGTGAATGCAAGTAGTGCCTCCTTATAATTTTCAAGTATTTGCAATCAAATGTTTATCAAACAATTCATTATCCTTCAAAGTGAAGTGTTAGTTAAGGTCAGACCAGAAGAAGCTTTTTTATATCAGGCCCTGCAGTTATTTAGAATGGGGAGATTCACTGGAAAATGGGACATGATCCTTGCTCTCAAGAGGCTCCTAAACTTTGTGCTGTTTTCAAGAGTGTGTTTGCTTCTTCTTCACTTCCTCCTCTTTTTATAAAAAGAACACTGGAAAGGCTAGTTAAGATTAAGCACTTGGCCGGACGTTGGTGGCACATGCCTTTAATCCCAGCACTAGGGAGACAGAGGCAGGCGATTTCTGTGAGTTCGAGGCCAGCCTGGTCTATAGAACGAGTGCCAGGATAGGCTCCAAAGCTACACAGAGAAACCCTGTCTTGAAAAACAAAAAACAAAAAACAAACAGACAAAAAAAAGATTAAGCACTTGCTGCTCAAATATGAGGAAGAGATTTTGAATTCCGAAAATCAATGTAATCCCAGTGCTCAGGCAGCAGAGATAGAGAATACCCAGGAAAAGCTGGCTGGTTAGACTCAGCTCTGAATTCAAGTGGGAGATTTTGCTTCAATATATAAAGTTAGAAATTGATCAATGAAGATACTCCCAAAGCCAACCTTGGGCCTCAGAGATACATGCATATATATATATATATATATATATATATATATATATATATCCATATGCACATTCATGTTTGTACATAGAATCATATGCAAACACATACATACTACATACATACACATGCAAAACAAAAAAATACTAGAAATAAAATCGCTGATAAAACAATGAAGATAATGGTCATCAGAGTGACAAACTAGAGTTATGGTTTAGTAAATGCCATGTGCTCTTTGTTAAGACACAAAAAGGATGTAAATTAGTGTGGTAAAACCTGAGATATATTTTCATAAGTGATGACTGATCTAAATATCAACTCTAAATTAAAAAAAAACAATGAAAAGCTTCACATATGACAACCAGTTGTACCAAATCTGCTTGGAAATAAGAATTCTCTACTAATTGAGTTAGTCTAGTCTAACAAATTGGAGATGCACTTAAAAACAAATTACTGGTATATGTAACATATCTGAATCTTCCCAAGATGCTGAAAAGTGTTATCAAAAAACATTGGTACTATATGATTTAGTTAAGTGATATTTTTTTAATTGCAAAAATAGCATTGAAAAATTCAGAATAATACTTTATTTGGGTATAGGAGAAATCGACTAGGAGGGGGCATGAAAAATGTTTTGGAAATAAAGGTACCATTTTGAATACTGAAATGACTTTCTTTATGCAAACAATATATGAGATATAGTTGATTCGCATGCTGAATTATTTTGGCAGACAGGTACAGATGTCAGCAATTTATGTTGAGATTCATTATAAACTTTAGGATTGATGGAGGGATGAGGGAAACTGGAGGTGGATGAATATTCAGTATGATAAGGAAACTGTTACAGCAGCACCAACATGGCAGAAGAGGTGGGTCTTTGTGGGTTTATTAGATAATTGTCCCAAACTTTTATGTCTGATATGTTTTGTGATAACACATGTGTAAAATGTGGTTAGGCCTGACAGCTTGCTCCCAGGCTCCTGCAGCTCTTGCTATGGTCACTTCTATGTCTCAACTAGTGTCCCTGTTGCTACTGCCCTATGACTTGTTTTATTATGGTAATTAACCAAAACAAATGCAATCAACAACTTTAATAAGCCATGCCTGTTTTCAAAACACAGTAATAGTGTCCCATCATTCTTGGGGGTCATAGTCTGATTTCCTGTATCCTACATGATGTGGCCCCCATTACCACTGTGATACCTTCTCCCCTTGCATCCTTTTTTCTGAGTCCTACCGCTTTCACATTGTCTCCTTCCTACCCTTTGAATTGCAAACATCCTTATACCCTAGGACCTTGTCATTTGCTCTGTTAGCATGTCCTTCCTTCGGACAACTTTTAGTACTACTCACACTTTCATATAACCAGTACCATCACCTAGTAAAATCTTCCCAATGACTCCTAACTCCTAAATTCTATTTCCATTTGTTTTTGAACTTCCATTCTTAAGTATTTTAGGTAATATTACTCTAACATTCTCTATAGTTTGTTCATTTATATGCTTATTGTCTATACAGGGTACCTGTATACCAGGGGAGAATTTTTGTCTGTTTTACTATCTCCTTACTTGACAGCAGCTGCAACAGAGCTTAACAAATAATAGACACAAAACTATTTGCTGAATGAATAAAGGACATCTGTATTATTGGATCATGCCCTTAGCAAAACACTGGTTATAAAAATGCACATTGTTTTTTGTTTTTTCACGACAGGGTTTCTCTTTGTGGCTTTGGAACCTATCCCAGCACTCGCTCTGGAGACCAGGCTGGCCTTGAACTCATAAAGATCCTCCTGCCTCTGTCTCTCACGTGCTGGGATTAAAGGCGTGTGCCACCAATGCCCAGTCACATGTTGTTTTAGTAAAATTGAATCACTATGAACACTTTTTCCATAACAGTTAGAAGTATTTCTGTAGATAAATGCTTTGCTGAACTTTGAGCCAGGCATACAAATGCTTGAAAAAGTTTAAGCCAGATAACAATCACCCCAACAATAATAGAAGAAGTATTGCACCTTGCACTGAAGGAAGAAGCAATAAATGGAATGAATGGCATTATTCTAAGGATTTATTCTCTACTATTTAGTTTTTTAAAATATAAAATGTATTTGAAATCAGGGGTTTCTCTAGTTTCAGTTCATCATTGTATCCCTCATCTCCAAATAGAGCCTGCTAATGTTATAGTCAATATTCATATTTTCATAATATTCATATTTTTAATAAATAACATTATGAATATAACAGTGCTACTGTTGTTGAATTAAATGATGGACATGGTTATGGCATCAATAACAGCATGGCTTACTCAGCAAAATCTTCTGTTAGATGGCTAGCAGAAATCTGTGACCTAGCTAGCTATCCCATTGATGGGGGAAGTCCTTCTGTATGCTGTGAATATGTTTCTCTTATTTGTTGATGGATAAAGATGTTTGGCCAATGGACAGGCATAATGTAGTCAGGCAGTAAGTATAGAAAGGACTACTAGACTAGGAGAATTCAGGGAAGAGAGACACAGAGAGTGGGTTGTGAGGGAGACAGCATGTAGCTACTGAGGAAGAAAGAGATCCGGGCATCACCAGTAAGCCAAGGCTACATGGAGATACACAAATTAATGTAAATGGGTTAATGATTAAGAGAGAACTAGCCAATAAGAAGCCTAAGCCATGGGCCAAATAGTTTATAATTAACATAAGCCTCAGAGTGTTTATTTGGTACTAAATGGTTGAGGGATTGGGTTGGATATAAGCTTCTGCCTACATCCCATAAGTTGCTAGAATCAACCATCCATGAACAACACATATAGAAACATTGATTTGGGTGTCAATGTAAAAGTGGCTGCTGATATAATCATCCTTGAGACTTTGTGTCTCTGGGATAATTTGAAAAAGTCCTCATAAATCACATATTGTGACAAAAGGATATTTGGTATAACTTTGGATGGAGCCACTACTAGTGTAAATTTTATGTGAAGAAAACAACACCCTTTCTGAAGAATTATGACTCAATTCTCCACAGGGATGCTTCTGAGGATTAATAGAGTGAGGCCTGAATGTCAATCAGCTCCACCAGTCAGCCAGTAACCTTGTACAGAGAGAACACTGTGTGCACTATCAGACATGGAGGCTTGGGTGTAGTCTGCTTCCTAGAATTCTGAAGTGTGTACTCACTAGCAGTGTACAATGCACCTGCCCTATCCATCACTGTCTACAGAGTTTTTCAAACCAAATGATGAAGGTCATGCTGCCTTGCTTTAGTTTCTTGGCAGTCTTGTACCTTTAAGCTATATGTGTGCATAGTTCTTGTTAAATGGCTTAAGACTTTTCTCTTGCTACAATTTGTACATTCTTTTTGCATATTAGCATCTGTTTATTGAATTATAAAGCTTGATAGGATGTATGTTGCTACAGTATGTGATGGCTTTGATGAGTTGAATATGATGAATATAAGAATAAATAACGTTTGTCTTTAATGAATCTACCACTTGTAGGTTCTTATAATGGAAGTATTTCCAACGTTCCAAAATCTTAAAAGATTATTAATGATTGTTCATAAATTTTATCAATATTTTCCCAGCATTCTATTGTTAGTGATGAATCAAAGTGAAGTGAAGCCAGGCCTGGTGACATATATCTACAATGAGAGGCTGAGGCTGAGGCAGGAACATAACAATTTCAATGTCACCCTAAACTATATCTTAAAAGAAAAGTGGGGAGGATGTAAGTGAATCCTATCAGCCTTCCTCTTGTGGACTGTCCCACATTAGCCATCTTTATAGACTTAAATCTGTCATTGTTCCAGCTAGAATTTAGTTAGAAATCAGATAAAGAATTCACTGACTTGATTTTAGTTTTGTGAAATGATTTAAGGTCATTTTCTATTATTTTTAAAAAATAGTTGACAAAATACTGAGCTTTATACTAGTGTGGACTGAAATTTGAGTGGAAGTTCTCATTTGGTCCTATCATTTCTTTAGTACGATAGACATTTATACTTTTGGATAAGATCCATCCCATTTAAATTATTTTCCTTATAAAACATGCCAAATAGTTGAAAGAGAAAGTCCATCTGCCAACTTCAATTATTAACGCCCTTTTCTATTTTTGAAAATTAATTTTAGAACCATTTTATGTTGTCCAAAAATGTAACACGTGAAGATTTTGAGTGACATTCCATTAAGCTTTGGTGTTACTGTGTGAGCAGCTGACATCTTTGCAATATTTAGTTTTTTTATCCAGGAGTATAACACAGGCTTTTTTGTTGATGTGCAATTTAATGGTTTGCACTAAATTTATGGAATTTTTTCTGAAATAGATTTCATGCATTTTATACAAAGGCCATTCTTAAGAATTTTAATTTATTGGATAATTTTGGTTTTATGAGTGTTCCTATTATTTATGCCCAAGTTCATTGTCATTATGTATAGAAAAAAATTGCCTGGTTTTGAAAGTCTCCCTTGTATTTCTGCAGTTTCATTGATTATATTAACATTTAATTCTTTAAATATTAATGCATTTACATATGTTATTATTTTGACAAACTTAATGTGATGCACAAAAGAACAATGATTTGTTCCTTTCAAGTGGCTCTAACTAGATATAATTCAAGCAAAAAAAAATTCCACATTAGTTTTCCAGAGATGATTGACGAAACTATATTCCCATCTTCTTTCCTGTTATAAATTAACTCTACTGAGGAGTATCAGAGAGGAAGTTGTAGTGAACTATTTCCACAGAAGAAATTCCTGTAAGATTTCAGTTCTCTAACCTAGAAAGATTATCAGAAATAAGCTGAACTTTAGAAAAAAACAATTTTAAATTTATTTTGTGTTAGTTTCTTAGGGGCAGCCATTAAGGACTGTTTTGTTCATTTTTTTTTTTGTAATCCCAGAATTTAAAAATAAGATTACCAAATGCCAACACCTAGCAAATATGTGTAGTGATATATTATTTATGATTTATTAAAGCCTGCCTGAGGATTCAGAAAGAAAAATCAGCCACAAGCCGTAGAATCCAGGCACACACCTTTAATCCCAACAGCCAGAGGTTAGAGAATTCAGTATTAACAGAAAGATGAATGCCACCCAGAGATACATGAGATTGAATCAGTCTAAAAGAGTAACAGGTCACATGCCTTTAATCCCAGCACTATAGGGGTATAAAATATAGAGGTAGGATCTTCAGTAGTCAGTAAGTATAGTGGGAAATTACCAATACGGAGTCAGGTAGAAATATAAGGGTATTTAATAGGGAAAAGCCTTACTTACAGAGCGACCTAGCCAGCCGGCGTGGCAGCAGTCTGTACACAAGTCCAAAAGAGAAACCGAAAGCAGTCACAAGCGTGGTCAGGCACACCTGTAGCCAGCCCCTAAGTAGGCGTGGCTACAGCTTCCCCTACAATTCCCCTTTCAGTCTAAAAGAGGATTAAAACTTAACAGTTTAAAGTATCCAAAATTAACAATCATAAATATAAGAAGATACAACAATCTGCTTATGTCATATCCTAACTATCTATTTTAACTAAACCCTAAATAGTCATGTGGGGTCCTGTAGGAAGATAATGTTAGTATAGTGAAAGTCTTGAATGAATTGTATCCAGTCCATGTTAGATGGGATTCACTTGATTGAAGATCTCGCTTGAAACCCTCAACTTGATTGAAGTCAGTACCCAAACCTCTGGCTGGAGTGTCCATTGAAATGGAGCAAGTTGGATCCAGTGCAGTCGAGGAGGTGTGGCCCATTTTCTTTCCAGGGTGTCCAGGGATTGCTGTTAGGCAGGTCTTCATTGGCTGTGTTGGACTCAAACATAAACAGTTAGTGACCATGCCCTCACAAGCATGGTCAGGCACACCTGTAACCAGCCCCTAAGTAGGCGTGGCTACAGCTTCCCCTACAAGTAAGAGGCATTCATTCTCCAGCCACACTGAGGAGAGGCAGCAGTTTGAGACTTGGTGAAGAGCTCATGCATGGATGAGTCAGCCTGAGCTTGAAGTGAGAACTAGTGGCCAGCTCCTTTGCTTTTCTGATCATCAGCATGAAGTTTGAACCCCAATATCTGTATCTGGGTCTTTTATTAATTCGTGTTACAAATATGTTTGATTGCTGTTAAATAAAGCAAAAACACAGAGATACATTTATTTGTGTGGGAAAAGTAAAATGATGTCAAAGTATACAAATCTGTAGACCTTAGGGTTAGACTTACCCAAGTTTCTTTATTAGCAAATGCCATTCTACATGTTCTCTCTCATCTCATATAATCACACACTCCAGGTGGCAATCAACTAATTCCATTCCCATGTCTCACAGTTGCCTACACAAAGATGAACAGCTTCCTGCCCAACAACTATTGTAAACAAGTTTATCACAGGTGTACTGGACATAGGACAAGTCTATAGCCAACACCATGAGTATTATGGAGCAAAAACAGAGGGAGATGGAAGTGTTAATCTAATTCATCTTAATCAATAAAAACATGGAATCAGTTATCGGGGTAAAAGCTGAAAGATCAGAGAAGCAGAACAGCAGCCACCAGAGACTTCTTACCTCTCTGAATTCTCTGACCAAAAGGGATGAGACCTTGTTTCCACCCAGCCTTATCACTTTCCTGTCTCCTGTCTATACAGACTTTCAGACCTCTATGGTTAACTAGTGGCTGCCTCCACCCTCTGAGCTCTGGACAAGCTTTATTTGTCAGAACACAAACAAAATATCACACAACAGAAAACTCACGGGTGTTGGTAGTTGGGTGTTGGTGGCACATGCTTTTAATCCCAGCACTGGGGAGGCAGAGGCAGGCGGATCTCTGTGAGTTCGAGGCCAGCATGGTCTCCAGAGAGAGTGCCAGGATAGACTCCAAAGCTACACAGAGAAACTCTGTCTCAAAAAATCAAAAACAAACAAACAAACAAAAAGATGTCATTAGTGAGTTCTGAAATAATTCTAAATTTCTTAAACCTAGAGAGTTACTGTGTTGTGCATTAGCGTTTATATGACACATTATTAGGTTTCTAGTTACTAACAGTAGGATGAATGTATACCATGAGTCCATTGTTGCAAAGGAGTTTTAGAAGTTCATGTTAACCTAAATTAAACAAATAGTCTTGTGCACTATGTCAAATAATTTTATATGCATTATATTCTTTTAAAATAACATGGTGGCAGAGGAATATACTGGATGGTCAGAGCTCAGCATGGCCAGGGATTTACATGAATTTCACATGGCAACCTAATGGAAAAATAAAGAGTTCAGTGCTTCTTGAAATGAGAGAAGGGAAAAGGATGAGACAGGAAAGCAGGTGCACTCGAGGCATGTGAGAGCTTGGGGGTTATTGAAATAAGAAGCTTTTCAGCAGCAGAGTGAAATAACCACTTATACTTTAATGATGGCTATGGCCTAGGTGTTGGCTATGGTAATATAAATAAGGGCAGAACAAAGGAAGCCTGGTTTATTGCCTTTTGCATCCTGGCAAGAGAAAAAGTTGATATGGATTGGAGTGAAAATGATAGAAATGTTAGATGTGTTCAGAATCTGAATTTTATGTAAAGGATCTGGAACGATTTGCTGATACATAAGATGTGGTCTTCGAGGAAAAATAGTAAAGATAAAATGTACCATAAAGGGGAAGAGCAAACAGAATACTGGAAGGACTGTTCAGCCTCTTTGTGGATTCCTCAAGAAGTAAGAGAGAGAGAGAGAGAGAGAGAGAGAGAGAGAGAGAGAGGAGCATCTCCAGTGTTTTACACAATTCTTTAACTCTAGTTATATGGATGGTCATATGCACAACTGGTTTTATGTTACACTGTTGGATTATAGGTAGAATCAATCATAAACTAACACTAAAAAAACTATTGAAGAATGCAAGTAGCTGAGAAGAAACTTCTAGAAGATATGGAAGCTATTCACCTCAGATATTATTTCACATTAACATTTTCCTATGGGAAAATCTGGCTTCTTCATTCAGTACTGTCTCTCAGTAATTGTTTATGAATACATATTTTATTCAGACTTTGAACCCTTTGATTTAACATAATCTTTTCTTTCTTTTTTTTTGTTTTTTTTTTTTTTTTGTTTTTCAAGACAGGGTTTCTCTGTGGCTTTGGAGGCTGTCCTGGAACTAGCTCTTGTAGACCAGGCTGGTCTCGAACTCACAGAGATCCGCCTGCCTCTGCCTCCCGAGTGCTGGGATTAAAGGCGTGTGCCACCACCGCACGGTGTAACCTAATCTTGTAATCATATACATCTATATTGTTGTATCTTATTCTTTTTATATAGAAAGCTATTAAATCAGTATTTACTTAATAATGGAAGTAAACATTAATTAGTTCACAACTACAATTGTTTAAGATTTTAAGATTTAAACACTTTGTATGAACATTGCATCATTTTGAAATACTAGACATTTTTAGTGAGATAAATATTTTTATATTGGGAACTGAAAATTTTCCATTTCCAGACCAAGACTCAGTTTCAAAACACAGCCATGACAATGTCTAATTACTAAACTACCAGGAGACTAAGGATTCCAATTTTAGTGTGAAAATGAAATGGAATACAATGTTGAATAAGAATGTCCTTGTTAGTCTTCAGAATATTCTCCCATGTTGGCAAAAGTCTCCAGAGAACACTGGATTGACTTCCAAGAAATATCCCAAGTTAGCCAAAAATATTGTTTTCTTTCTTAAATAAAAATACTCATAAGGTATTTTATCTGTAAATTTTTATGATGCTATATAACAAAACCAAAATTATATCCATGATTTGTTTTTTGTTTGTTTTTAAAAAACACTTGATTCAGTGAATCTTTATGACTACATTTTTGGAAACAGGTAATGGTTTTCTTATTTGATATGCTCTTATAGTTTAGAATCCCCAGAATCAATCTCAGAGATAAATATTTCTGCTCATCTTTGCAAATAATATTAAAATATATATTTCCAAGAAAGACTAACAAAGAGGTGAAGATGAAAAACAATTGTGTAATTTCAGATGGCACTCGATTCTCAGAGAGCAGGTTTAGGACAACATGTAGGGGACTTCTAGGTTGAGGTGAGAAGAGGAGGGGAGGATAACATGAGGGGATGAGATGGTGAAGATGGTGGAAGGACAGAGAGAGAGAGCAAGGGAAGAGGTATCTTGATTGAGGGAGTCATTATGGAGCTAGGGAGAAACCTGTCACTAGGGAAATTCCCAGAAATCCACAAAGATGACCCAGCTAAGACCTAAGCATCAGTCGAGAGGGTGCCTGGCATTCTCCTGTAATCAGATTGATGACTACCTGTATTATCATCATAGAGTCTTTATCTAGTAACTGATGGAAGCAGATGCAGAGATCCATAGCTAAGCAGTAGGCTGAACTCCCAGAGTCCAGTTGAAGAGATGGAGGAGTGATAACATGAGCAAAGGTGACAAGACCAGTGTGGGGACACCCACAGAAACAGCTGACCTGAGCTAGTGGGAGCTCACTGACTCTGGACTAACAATGGTGGAACCTGCATAGGATCAAACTAGGCCCTCTGAATGTGGGTAACAGCAGTGTGGTTTGGCCAGCCTGTGGGGCCATTGGCAGTGGGACCAAGATTTATTCCCTAGTGTTTGAACTGGCTTTATGAAGCCCATTCTCTTTGGAGGGATACCTTGCTCATCCTAGACATAGGGGGGAGAACCTTTGTCCTGCCTCAAAGTAAGGTGCCAGAGTTCCTTCACTCCCCTTGAGAAGCCTTATGCTCTATGAGGCATAGATGGCTAGTGGAGTGGTGTGAAGGAGGAGGGGAGGGAGTGGGAACAGGGATTAGTAGGTAAAATGAGAAAATATTGTTTTTAAAATAAAAAATGATAAAAAACCCTGGGACCTCCTGAAACTGAGAAGCTTCTGTAAGGCAAAGGACACAGTCAACAAGAAAAAAATAGCAGCCCACAGAATGGGAACATATAGTCACCATCCCACATCTGACAGAGGGCTGATTTCTAAAATATACAAAGAACTCAAGAAGCTAGTCACCAAAACACCAAATAATCCAATTAAAAAGTGTGGTACAGAACTAAATAGAGATTTCTCAATAGAGGAATCTAAAATGGCCAAAAGACACATAAGAAAGGGCTCAATATCCTTAGCCATCAGGGAAATGCAAATCAAAACAACTCTGAGATACCATCTTGCTCCTGTCAGAATGGCTAAAATCAAAAACACCAATGATAATTTATGCTGGAGAGGATGTGGAGAAAGGGGAACACTCCTCCACTCCTGGTGGGAGTACCAACTTCTGCAGTCACTTTGGAAATCAGTACGGCGACTCCTCATG